CATGTCACCCAAGGTCATTACATTATCTTTATTTTTATTTGAGCCTTCATCACTAACAGATTTTTTGTGTTGATTGTCAATCCTCTAGTCATTACAATCAAGGTTTTCTGTCATGAAAAGCATCTCTTGATCTTGAGTGTTAACCATAGAAAAGATGTCTTCAGATATATTATTAATATGTTTACTTTTGGAAGCTGTCTGTTTTTTTGCCGCAAACTCTTCAACTGTTTGAGATAGAGGAATGAAGTCTAATTCATCATCTGTTGAATCATCTGAGTCTTCTATAACTTGGATCCTGCTAGAAGATGGTTTGTTTTTGTTTTCTTCCAAGAGAGGAGATTTATTTAGGTCGGAGTTGTCATTTCCATAACAACTCTGATTTACAAGAATCTCTTGAAAAATCACTTTGAATTAGTTGCATTAATATGATATTAGGAAGAGGAAGTATGACAAGAATAAACAAGTCTGAATGGGGTTGACGATCCACAAGGTTCATTAAAGATAATACTGTGATTTAAAGCTTTGTTACATGTTATCTTATGATTTATTAAAGCTGTATTTTTGGACACACTAGGCAAATGCTGTCCTTTTATAGTCAAACTATTTAGAATCTTTCTTGAACTCCCCCAAGTTGACACATATGTACCATCTCCGAGTGTCGAACAAATGTCCATGTCACCCAAGGTCATTACATTATCTTTATTTTTATTTGAGCCTTCATCACTAACAGCTTTTTTGTGTTGATTGTCAATCCTCTTGTCATTACAATCAAGGTTTTCTGTCATGAAAAGCATCTCTTGATCTTGAGTGTTAACCATAGAAAAGATGTCTTCAGATATATTATTAATATGTTTACTTTTGGAAGCTGTCTGTTTTTTTGCCGCAAACTCTTCAACTGTTTGAGATGGAGGAATGAAGTCTAATTCATCATCTGTTGAATCATCTGAGTCTTCTATAACTTGGATCCTGCTAGAAGATGGTTTGTTTTTGTTTTCTTCCAAGAAAGGAGATTTATTTAGGTCGGAGATGTCATTTCCATAACAACTCTGATTTACAAGAATCTCTTGAAAATCACTTTGAATTAGTTGCATTAATATGATATTAGGAAGAGGAAGTATGAGAAGAATAAACAAGTCTGAATGGGGTTGACGATCCACAAGGTTCATTAAAGATTATACTGTGATTTAAAGTTTCGTTACATGTTATCTTATGATTTATTAAAGCTGTATTTTTGGACACACTAGGCAAATGCTGTCCTTTTATAGTCAAACTATTTAGAATCTTTCTTGAACTCCCCCAAGTTGACACATATGTACCATCTCCGAGTGTCGAACAAATGTCCATGTCACCCAAGGTCATTACATTATCTTTATTTTTATTTGAGCCTTCATCACTAACAGCTTTTTTGTGTTGATTGTCAATCCTCTTGTCATTACAATCAAGGTTTTCTGTCATGAAAAGCATCTCTTGATCTTGAGTGTTAACCATAGAAAAGATGTCTTCAGATATATTATTAATATGTTTACTTTTGGAAGCTGTCTGTTTTTTTGCCGCAAACTCTTCAACTGTTTGAGATGGAGGAACGAAGTCTAATTCATCATCTGTTGAATCATCTGAGTCTTCTATAACTTGGATCCTGCTAGAAGATGGTTTGTTTTTGTTTTCTTCCAAGAAAGGAGATTTATTTAGGTCGGAGATGTCATTTCCATAACAACTCTGATTTACAAGAATCTCTTGAAAATCACTTTGAATTAGTTGCATTAATATGATATTAGGAAGAGGAAGTATGAGAAGAATAAACAAGTCTGAATGGGGTTGACGATCCACAAGGTTCATTAAAGATTATACTGTGATTTAAAGTTTCGTTACATGTTATCTTATGATTTATTAAAGCTGTATTTTTGGACACACTAGGCAAATGCTGTCCTTTTATAGTCAAACTATTTAGAATCTTTCTTGAACTCCCCCAAGTTGACACATATGTACCATCTCCGAGTGTCGAACAAATGTCCATGTCACCCAAGGTCATTACATTATCTTTATTTTTATTTGAGCCTTCATCACTAACAGCTTTTTTGTGTTGATTGTCAATCCTCTTGTCATTACAATCAAGGTTTTCTGTCATGAAAAGCATCTCTTGATCTTGAGTGTTAACCATAGAAAAGATGTCTTCAGATATATTATTAATATGTTTACTTTTGGAAGCTGTCTGTTTTTTTGCCGCAAACTCTTCAACTGTTTGAGATGGAGGAACGAAGTCTAATTCATCATCTGTTGAATCATCTGAGTCTTCTATAACTTGGATCCTGCTAGAAGATGGTTTGTTTTTGTTTTCTTCCAAGAAAGGAGATTTATTTAGGTCGGAGATGTCATTTCCATAACAACTCTGATTTACAAGAATCTCTTGAAAATCACTTTGAATTAGTTGCATTAATATGATATTAGGAAGAGGAAGTATGAGAAGAATAAACAAGTCTGAATGGGGTTGACGATCCACAAGGTTCATTAAAGATTATACTGTGATTTAAAGTTTCGTTACATGTTATCTTATGATTTATTAAAGCTGTATTTTTGGACACACTAGGCAAATGCTGTCCTTTTATAGTCAAACTATTTAGAATCTTTCTTGAACTCCCCCAAGTTGACACATATGTACCATCTCCGAGTGTCGAACAAATGTCCATGTCACCCAAGGTCATTACATTATCTTTATTTTTATTTGAGCCTTCATCACTAACAGCTTTTTTGTGTTGATTGTCAATCCTCTTGTCATTACAATCAAGGTTTTCTGTCATGAAAAGCATCTCTTGATCTTGAGTGTTAACCATAGAAAAGATGTCTTCAGATATATTATTAATATGTTTACTTTTGGAAGCTGTCTGTTTTTTTGCCGCAAACTCTTCAACTGTTTGAGATGGAGGAACGAAGTCTAATTCATCATCTGTTGAATCATCTGAGTCTTCTATAACTTGGATCCTGCTAGAAGATGGTTTGTTTTTGTTTTCTTCCAAGAAAGGAGATTTATTTAGGTCGGAGTTGTCATTTCCATAACAACTCTGATTTACAAGAATCTCTTGAAAAATCACTTTGAATTAGTTGCATTAATATAATATTAGGAAGAGGAAGTATGAGAAGAATAAACAAGTCTGAATGGGGTTGACGATCCACAAGGTTCATTGAAGATTATACTGTGATTTAAAGTTTCGTTACATGTTATCTTATGATTTATTAAAGCTGTATTTTTGGACACACTAGGCAAATGCTGTCCTTTTATAGTCAAACTATTTAGAATCTTTCTTGAACTCCCCCAAGTTGACACATATGTACCATCTCCGAGTGTCGAACAAATGTCCATGTCACCCAAGGTCATTACATTATCTTTATTTTTATTTGAGCCTTCATCACTAACAGCTTTTTTGTGTTGATTGTCAATCCTCTTGTCATTACAATCAAGGTTTTCTGTCATGAAAAGCATCTCTTGATCTTGAGTGTTAACCATAGAAAAGATGTCTTCAGATATATTATTAATATGTTTACTTTTGGAAGCTGTCTGTTTTTTTGCCGCAAACTCTTCAACTGTTTGAGATGGAGGAATGAAGTCTAATTCATCATCTGTTGAATCATCTGAGTCTTCTATAACTTGGATCCTGCTAGAAGATGGTTTGTTTTTGTTTTCTTCCAAGAGAGAATATTCATTTAAGTCCAATCCTTTCCATTCCAAAAATAAACGTGAAGAATCAAACAAATCAAGCAATAATTTAACAAAAAGGAAATAAGTTATAAAACCTATACTTGAAAATGAAAACCAAGCAACGCTTTCAAATGAAGCTGAACGATCAACAAGAAACAGTGATGTTTCACTACTACATTCTAAAAAGAATGATACAGACTCAAATGGTAGTGTAAGTGTTGATGTACCAAGCAAGGATTTGGCACAAAGTAAGGAAACAAAACTCGACCGACTAGAACTAGATAAAAAAAAACCATACCTTTTTCAATTAATTTTGTATCCTTGGATCTCTTGGCTGGAGATTGATCATCGATGTCAGACTTACTTGAGTTTCTCGTAGTATCTTCATAATTAAACTCGACTGAGAACCTCTTCTAATTTAGATCTAATTCCTTTAATAACCTCTAATAACCTTTTTCTAAATTAGATCTAATTAGAGGAATTTTTCTACCTTTCCCCTTTTCCTAATACTTCTTCTGACAGTTAACATTTTACAACAAACTGAACAAGAACAAAATCATTCAGGAATAACTAAAAAGGATGATATGGAACATATGATGCCTGTGGAAAAATCAAAACATTCTGAACAAGCACCTGTCTTGTCTAGCAATATAGACAAAGTTAAAATAAGGAATGGTTGTGCATCAGTTGGGAGCTGTTTAAAATGTAGTAGAAAACACCTCTTTGCAAAACAATGAACTTGTAGTAAACATTGAAAGCATTCACTCTAATCTAAAGAAAAGAAAACTGATCAATTTTTAGATACATTTGCCCAGTCTGCCCGTTTATAAAAGTGGGCCTGAACATTATGTAGGGCTGGCTGTGTATACAGTATTGGAGTGTCAGTGACATGAGGAGTTTTGTGTGACATGAAGTGACAAGTGGATTTGACTGTGAATATAGTAAGCATTTTTTTTAATAGCATGTTTTGATGGTTTTAAATGCATAATGTATGGATTTTTAATAATTACTGTACATTCGTTATGTTTTGTTATTGCAAGTAAACCTCAACTGAATAAAAAAAAACACTTTCAAGGTAAGCTAGCTGTCCTCCTTTTTCTGTCTTTTTAATTCAATGAAAATAAATTTACCTAAATCTACTTTTTATCCTTAGTCTAATCAAATAATAAAATTCTCATCCCTGTATTCTATACATGAAAACAAACAATTAAACAAATAAATAACTAGTGGACAGGTGAATGTGCGAGTGAGGTGTGTTTAGAAAGATCCTCTGATAACGGAGGCCTCGCTGAGGTCCCGAGGTACATACACGATGCGGACGGTGTTGGTGAAGCCAGCACCCTGCTTCCATCCAGTCACGACAATCACCGGGTCTCCGGTCTTGATGAAGTTACGGGTCCTGCCGAATCTGAGACCAAACTGTACTCGGAAGTCCACGTCCTTCACCCAATCGGGATTCAAATCGCCTGAAACCAAAAATATTGTTACTCAAAACCTATGACACAACCACTAAGACAAATATTACTGATTAATATATTTTTTTAATAAACTTGTTTTAATGTAATTTTGTTGCTCTAAGATTTATAAGTCTACCTAAATAGGATAGTCAATTTAGGTAAATTCACTCAAACTTAACAGAGAAAGGTTAACCAAAACCTTTACGAATAAAGAAAAAAACTCACTCTATAATATTGTCTTTAAATTCCATCATAAAGTTTGTTTGAACTATTTTAGGTTACATCTGCCGTGTTAGAGCTTAAGTCAATTCAACTGAAGTTGCTGTCATAATTCATGAAAAATACAGAAATATATTACGTCTAATAACACTTGCAATAATATATTTACACTTATACTGTTGACTTACAAGACGGTAAATACATGTACAAGTTGGTAAGTGGTGATTGATTTCGATTGGACACTCCAATCATCATCAGACCCAATAGGCGAATGTTATTCATATTGTTATTCATGTTCATTCATCCAATAGGCTAATCAAGAAGTTATTCAAAATTCATCACCCAACATGCCTTACAATGTTGTAATCAAATTGGGATTGGTTTTAAAATTATAATTCCTATTAATTTTGGCATTTCAGATGTTGGATGGTATGGCCCCTCTTGATGAGAATTACTAACCATTCAAGGCATTGTCTCTGTTTTTTACAGTTAAGGGGGTTTTTTTTTTTGTCCTAAGGACGCTAGGCACGAGCCTGGGATTGTTTTTCACATTACTTCAGGCTAGACCTAGGGGTTGCGGCATTATCACTTAGATAAAATCCATTGGTGACTTGGCGGGGATCGAACCCGGGACCTCAGGGACCGAAGTCCCGCGCTCTAACCACTACGCCAGCTCGCTCCCCTACAGTTAAGGGTAGTGATAAGATTGGTAATAGACATATTCTATTTACACAAAACATTCTGTAAAATGCACAATTCATACATAAGAACAGGTGTTTTGCCATAGTTATATTGTTAAAATAAACTGTAATAGGGTATCATTCAAGCGTTTTTAAATACACTTAAAGGGGCTATACAAACATTCTCCCAGTGAATACAGTAGACCCCCTCTTAACCGACCTCGTATTAACCGATAATCGGATTATCCGCCTTCGATCGTAAAATAATACAGTTTGTTTTAACCGACCTTGCTTTGAGAGCAGCTCAGTTTAACCGCCGCTTTCTAGGAATCTCGGCATTTCCGCTCCCACGCTGGGCGATGAGAACTGAACCATACGCTTATCTCCACAGGATATGACTAACAATAAGTTATTTTGTGTTGATCACAAAAAATATAGCATAGCCTATTAGTGATGTAAAATACCCGGGTATTTAAAACTCGTATTAAAATTAAAACTTATAATTTATAACCCTGGGTATTTACCCGGGTAAATACCCAAAATCCATAAATACCTGGGTATTTTGGGTATTTATGTAATTGATTGAAATTCATTTATATTTACCCCTAAATATGTTATTGTTATCATTACGTGATAAATTAGGATAGTCTATAACACCTTTCACTGTAACTTGAAGCTTTGCTAGTACATTTTATTTAATGATTTAGCACTTTTTTTTAAATAATACATAAAGTTTCTACATAAGCAAGGGGTTTCGTGTTTTAAATTGAGTAACATCAGTTAAATTTAACTTACTAAATAATAGTTTATTAAAAAAGGCTGTGGCTTTTTCAATTTTTATCATTTTATAAATGTATAGCCAATTAAATAAGATAAACAAATTATTTTAATTTATAAATATCCAGGAATTGTTGAATATTTATGATACAAAATTCTTATTGCATAAATGACTTGGAAGGCTAGACAGTCCTAAGGCCTGATTGACATAAGCAGAATGGCAGAATACTAAAAGTAATTAAACTTTTCTGTGTTACCGCTTAGTTGGAAACAATAATATATTTGGATAAACCTACTAAAAAAATGTATCTCCTGTTTTTTGGTCTAACTTAATATAATTTTGAAACATTTATTGTGCTATAGATTCAAATGTTTTGTATTACAAGTTTATGAAATTAGTTTGATACCAACAAAAGATCTAGAACAAAAATATTATTAAATCCTGCCATCCTACAGATTGAATTTTAATTAGCTATTTTCTTAAGTTGTTTACACATAGGCCACTACCGGTACTAGGTTAAATGTTCCTGTCTTTCTAAATAATAATTATTAGGCTACTTCGCAATTTTTTTTCACTTTCAATACAATAAATTCATCTATCTATTATAGAAATTAAAAAATCATAAGTAGTCAGGACCAGTGCAACCATGTGATTAGGTTATTTATGCCGATTATGCTTTATGCTCAGACCTGGATATTTATGGCGATTATACGCAGAAGTAAAATGATAGTAGTGACCATATGAAATTTTGTTTAACAAATTTTATCATCATTTTACTATCCTTAAAGGGTAATAATTGCAAAAAAAACATCTCAATCTTCTCTTACTTTTTAATAAAATTATAAATACCCAGTTTTTCGGTATTTACCCGGGCCTGGGGTAAATACCCGGGTAAAAACCCAATTTATATTTATTTACCTACCCACTGGGTATTTACCCGGCCCACATCACTATAGCCTATTTTTAGTTTGCCATCATCGTTCGTAGCTCGAGCACATCTGATCTGATTTGTTATCTGTGCGGCAAATTTATAACATCATAAAGTGCGTTACGATTTTAATAACTGATTACTGATTATCTTATCGCCGGAGTAAACAAACAACGCAACTTGTAGGGAAGGCAGGGAAGGGGGGAATTAACAACTCCAAGGTCAAGATAGTTTTTGTGCCTCGAGCCTCCAGTGAGAGGCTATAAATAAACGTCCTGTTTTGTAACAAAATGGTGGCTTGTAGACAAAAGGTTCTGTACTGAATTACGATGTTTTTGGAAAGCATCCATTACAATACTAAAGTTATTAAAATAGGAATTTTATTGACTCTTGTCTAGTATTATAATATATTCCACTGAAAGTAGGCATATTTGACTTAACCGTGTTTTGTGTTTATTTGTGACTTTTAACTATCAATATGAAAAAGGAGATAGTTTATTTTATAAATAATGCAAGTATGACTTCAAAATAATGATTATATAATTCCAAATGAATAGCACTTCATTATGTTATGATTTTAGGGATTGCCCGTTTTATCCGACCTTTTGAGTTATCCGACCTAGGTCCGGTCCCATTATGGTCGGTTAAGAGGGGGTCTACTGTAGTATGATTTATCTATCATCCCATTTTTCAACTGATCTTTGAATTTTGTAACATAGACTTTTTTTAGGTACAAGGGTAATTTGTTGAACAATCTTAGTCCCACATATTTAGAGCTGTTCCTGAATATTGTCAGCTTGAGATGTGGTAATCTGAAATTATTTTTGTTCCTCCTCTAGTTTTGGTCTCCTTTGTTTGTTTCATTCTTCTCAACTAAAAATTATTATCTTTCTAACAAATAATTGCAAAGTCTTGATATAAGGGATCTTTTTTCAATTTAGTTGTCTAATGAATAGGTTGACAGAACCGGGTTTTTCTATTGTTGAGCTTATTTTCATTGAAAACTCATTAAACTTATAATAATAGTGGAGTCCCAATAATCTGAACTTTGGTCCACTTAATCCGAAACCAAAAAATAATTTTGTTCTAATTTAAAATTTATTTTTTTTACCAGTATGTGCTGTCACTTATACTCGAAAGTCGAAAATACTAGCACCGTAACGTGACGACATTAGTGCAGTTTATTGTAGACACAAAAAGTGATGAGCCGATACCCATTGGGGAAAGCCAAAACTGTGCGTAACGACAGTTAGTACTCAACATAGTATTCTGTAGTGGCCGGGCGAGATAGACTTGTTGTATAGAGTATTTTAGTAAATATTTTGCCATATTTTTAGTAAACATTTTTCATTTTCGTCCCAGATTCCAATCCTGCCAAATCACCAATTGATTTTATCTAGGTGATAATGCCGCAACCTAGGTCTAGCCTAAAGTAATGTGAAAAACAATCGTGGGCTCATGCCTAGCATCCTAGAACAAAAATTGTTTTGAAAAAAGTCAAAAAAATTGTCCGCAAATGTGAATAAATGAATGAATGAATAAATTAATAAATGAATTTATTTCCCATATCACAAAATATTTAACAATCATAAAAATTTTTGAGAAATTTAAACTGGTCACTTTTACAAGTAGTGTGACCAGTTACAAAGTTAAACATATATAATAAATAATAAATTGTTGAGTCTAGCATCAGATGATAAATATTTTATCCGCCTGCTGTAACATCTGGGCAAACTTAGCTTAAGAAAAAATTACAAAAATACACATAATAAGGTAACACTTATACTAAAGAGTTGGCAAGATAACCTACATCCTGTTGAGAACTGAGCCAAGTGATTGTTCTTTTACAAAAATATTTAAAGTTTCTGGTGTTTTTAATATGAAGCGGAAGTTGATTGTGGAATTTTGGACCCAAGTATTGAAATGAATGCCTGAAAAAAGTTTTGTTTACTTTGGGCAATTTGATAGATTTATTTGTAAAACTTCTTGTACTGTAAGGATGATTTGGAATTATATTTTCTGTTTCCGCTCCGGATGAAGAACAATCTCAGGACTTTAAAAATAAAAAAAGATGTTGAACTGGTAGAATGCATAACTGTTGGTATAATGGAAAAGAGTTTGTTTAGGTTTTTTGAGAATTATTCGCAAGAAAAAATTTAGAGTCGTTCTTATCTTCTCTATTAATGTTTTGTAAGTACCTCCCCAGCAAGGCAAGGCATATTGTAATCTTGAATTTATCAGTGTGAAATAAAGCGTTCGTAAAATTGTCATTGTCTAAATGGGTATTTTACAATAATTCCTGTCAAGTAGTTCCAAAAGTAACAATTATTATGTTACATGTTTCGGCGAGATGCCATTCTCAAACACTTCAGTCCAGGGAATACATTAATATCATTAATGTTACATTACATTACATTAACATCAGCTTGATTAGCAAACACTTTCAGACACACAAAATAAATAATTTTTGGAAAAAGATCACGGAAATGCAACATTGTCGCTTCGCTAGCAGGAGCAGACAAGTGTTTGACGATGGCATCTCACTGAAACTTGTAACAAGGTTGTTACTTCTTGACAGGTATTGTGACACTTTTATTTTTTAACTTTGTCATAATAAAATGTGAATTTTAAAAAGAAAATTCATTGATATAATTTCAGTCATTGCGGAGAGTGGAACCAATCCTTGTCCACGATCCTGTTCCAACCAGTACCAACCTGTCTGTGGATTCAACCCATGTGAGGAAGACGACTACCCTGATATGATGTTTAGGACGTTCAATAACGAATGTGAGCTAGAGGCTACCATATGCGACGGACCAGGATTTTGTGAGTATCATTCATTTAAAATTTTTAAGTAATCCGAAAGACAAGAGAAGAAAAGTTTTATAATTTCAGATCTATATAATGATTCAGAGCATTTACAGGGTATCCCGTAAGTAAACAGCCAAACTCCGGGAAATGGTTCTATGGGTCAAAATAAAGAGAAAATCAAGAATAACAATTTTTCCAAAATCGCTTCGTTAACCTGATATTCGCCATTTTGTATTTTTTACATAAACATTTTTTTAGGATTTTTTTAAAGCGATCTTTACAAAACTTGGTATGTAGTTTAAGGTAAAAAAGCCCCATGTTAAAAAAAAATCATCTTGATTTAACTTAAAATTTCAAAATGGCAGCAATTTAAATTGTTTTTAATTAAATTACTCAAAAACGGCTAATTTTAGGAAAAAATGCCTAGAACAATTATTTAGCATTTTAAATTCCCTATCAAAAGATACAAAATTCAAATACCCCCGCCGCAGCAAACCTGCAGACTAAGAGAATTTCCATTAACCTGATTGGATTTACACTAAAATGCCTCCATTAAAATATCACATTTATTTCCTATTTAAATAGAATTAGTTTAACGAGTACTTGGGTTTGCTGCAACAAGGAGGGTAAAAGTATTTTTTTGTAAAATGTTAGTAGTTTAGTAAGAAATGAAAGTATTTTCCAAATTCGATCAAAATATGTTCATAAACAAGCAAACTAAAACAGTTGACTTATTCTCCATAAGAATAACATGGGAATTTTTAATTTACAATTTTTTGGAGTTTTCTCTGTAACCATTAGGCGCACAACAACGCTTCAATATACTAAATTATTATTTTTTTAAGCTCTACAAAATGGTTTGGAAATAAATTGTAAAATTTTATGTTTTTAGGGACAAAAATAGGAAAAACCTATTTTTACCCCATAAAACCCCGTTCCCAAAGTCTGATCATGCAGGTTCGCGAACTCCTTTGAATAAATGTAGGTTTACACGTTTGTACCAAATTTAATCAAAATCTGATCATTTTTGCTTGAGTTATCACGCTAACGGACATATAATTATATATAAATGAATTTGAACGGATGGTGTTTTTGGCCTCTAGGAACCTCAAAACGAAAAAGTAAATCGGTCCCGGGTCCAGGTCTAGCTTCTGCCTTATTCTACTCCATTTTTGATTTTTTTTCTAACATGGGGCTCTCTCAAAACTCTCCCACTATCGTCTAAAGTACATTGTGTCACATGAAGATTAATACCTTACACAGCAAGTCTGGTGTCTGTTGTACGACTGTCAGAGTAGTGAAAATGTGTTAAGCCAGTCTCAGCTTTTTGCTCAATGAACAAAACCAGCCTGACTTGGCGGAAGTGTCAATTTTCTTTCACGTTTTCCAATACTATGACGAGACTATTCGGTTCATAGGGGACCAGCTTAAATAGTAGTGAATGAAGCAAGGAAAACAGAGTTGGCCTCTGATTTAACAGGAGCTTGATGGAGACCTTAATTTACGGACAACCCTAATAGATACAGTAGAGACTTGATAAACCGTCTTTTGACCTTTCATTTAGGTTATCTGTCACCTCAAAAATGTAAACTTTGCTATTTTTGCTACAGATTTTACAGTGTCACAGTTTTTAACATTTACTAAGAATCACACGATAGAAACAGAACATGTGGTTTCCGTGGGATACACGGAATATTTGTATTCGAGTAATGTAAATAATTACACTGAGTTATTTCTATCAACGTTCACTATAATTTTCCAAACCGCAGTTATTTATAAAAGAATTTCTGTTTCCCGTTAATTCAGTTACCCGTTCATAGTCCCAGTATGGTTAATAGAGGTTAAACAGTTCAGTACTGTAATATCTGTCTTAGAATAGAGTTTATACAGAGGGTAATAGATATGCAATAGATATTAACAAATACAGCGGTTGATTGTTTTCCAGTGTACCAGAGAGTCTACCAAGGAATTTGTGTTATGGACCACCAAGACGATTCTTCATGCCTTTTTATATCCAACTAACATCATACGTCATGTAAACGACAACCATTCTGATGTACAGACCATGTTACGATTTGCAATAAATGTTTGATTACAAATAATATTATCGCTGTACATTACTGTTAATGTTGCAGTCACCTAATGTAATAAAACAGTTTTAAAATAGTTTTGTCATGGCAGGTATTTGTATAGTTATCAGTTATTTGTGTTTGATACCTGACTAATCTGTAGCCTAACATGATAGGGTACTAGAAGGTGAATACAAATCAAAAAGTCAAATCTAATTGGGATTAGGCCCTGTTTATTCTAAAATGGATGTTTTAAATGAGTTTAATGTTGAACAATAAGTTATACGTATAATTCAAATTCTAATGTTGTTTTGGTATATTTGATTTGTCTGTTAAAACAAGAGTATAAATTTGTTTGCTTTTAAATAAGTAAAATTGTTCTACTTATCTTGCTATGTAGATTAGAATAATACGAGGATAACGAATAAATCCGCTGCAGCAAACCTAGAGACTAAGTGAGTTTTCATTTGCCTGATTGAATTTTTATTAAAATATTTCCATTACACATTCCAGATTCATCATCTATTTTCATAACACTTGGTTTAACAGTACTTAGGTTTTCTGCTACTGAGAAGATAAAAAAGTGTGTTTTTATTGAAATTTCAATAGCTTAATCAGTTATAAATAAATTTGCCAAATTTGATCAAATAACCACAAAAAAGTAAACTACAACAGTTTACTTATTCTTCATAAAAATGTATGGGAATTTAAAATTTATATATTCTGGAAGTATATACTGTACCTACCTAAGTTTGCAAGAATGCTTCAATGTACTTAAGTCACATTGCAGAATTTTTCAATTCTAAATTTGTTAATATCTCAAAAGAAATCGGGTTATCTCCTTCTGAATGTGAGGCATTAAGGCTTACACAAAATTCGATTACAGATTCTCAAAATCAAAAGTTTGATTTTCAAACAATAAATAAGACAGATGTAATTAAAGTTATTAAATCTTTCAGTAATAAAAGATCAGCAGGCTGGGATGAAATTCCTCTTGACATTATAAAAACTGTTTCCAATTCTATAGCTGAACCTCTTTCAATTATCATAAATCAATCTTTTCAAACCAATATTTTCCCAAATCATTTAAAATTTGCAGAGCTTAAACCTCTTTTTAAAAAGGGAGAAAAACATAACCCAGACAATTACAGGCCAATTTCACTCCTGCCTACATTCTCCAAGGTGTTTGAGAAGATTGCTTGTAACCAAATCACAAATTTTATGGAAGCTTTTAATATATTTTCTGAAAAACAGTTCGGTTTTAGAAAAGGCCTTGGCACAATGAATGCTTTAGCTGAGTTCATCGATGAGGTGGCATGGGCCTTGGATGGGTCGCAGAGCACAATGGGTGTGTTCTGTGACTTGTCCAAGGCATTTGATTGTGTTAACCACAACCTTCTTCTAAAGAAATTAGCATTTTATAAATTTTCAACTAAATCAATATCTTGGCTTGGATCCTACTTAAATGCTCGCTTCCAAAGGACAAAAATAACTAAAAATAATCAAGAAATAAAATCTAATTGGGAGGAAATTACAGTCGGGGTGCCTCAAGGGTCCATTCTGGGGCCACTTCTGTTTCTTATATACATAAATGATTTACCTAAAAATGTTTCCAATAGTCTTATTCTGTATGCAGATGACACTACTACAGTTGTCAAATCAAAAAATTATGAGGAATTAGTTGTCAAAGTTACTGAGTGTCTTGATGAGCTAGGGAACTGGTTTGATAAAAATGGATTGAAAATGAATCAAGATAAACTCAATTGGTTAGATTTTTTACACCCCAGAATAGACAAAATGTAAATGCTTTCACACAGCTTTCAACTGATGAAAATGTTAAATTTTTAGGCCTGTACATTGACAAGCATTTGGCGTGGGATAGGTGTGTTGAATATGTTTTGGGCAAACTCAACTCTGCTTGTTTCCAAATTTTATGTTTAAGGGATACAATAGACTTAAAAACTTCAGTGATGATGTATTACGCTTATTTTTACTCCATACTTCAATATGGTATTGAATTTTGGGGCTACTCAACAGATATAAATAGAATTTTCAAAGTCCAAAAAAGGTTTTTGCGAATCATAACTTTTTCACCATGGAAAGCTTCATGTAAACCAATTTATAAACAGTTAAATATAATGACAGTTCCAAATTTGATTATTTATAAAACCTTGCTAACTGTACAACCCAACTACCCTCAATTTTGCAGCGGAAACTTTGAGCATTCGTATAATACGAGATTCAAAAATAATTTTCAGTATCCTAGACACAATCTCAAACTTGTTGAAAAAACACCTTCCTACATGGGGAAAAAATTTTTTAATAAATTGGACCCAAAATTAAAAATATTAATAAATACTAATTCTTTTAAAAGCAGCCTTGCCAACTTTTTACTAGGTAAAACTTATTACAGCATTAATGAATTTTTAATGGACAGCTCGATTCTGTAATAATTTTCATCTTTAACTTTCGACTTAATCTCCTTTTATTGTAATTTATTTCTATTCTAAGACATTGTTTATAATTATTATATTAATCTTTAATTTCTAGCTATTCATATTTATATTTACTTTTTAATGTTATTATTACATAATTTGACAATGTCACCTGTTTTTTAGTTATGCTATAATTGAAAATGTTATATGACAATAAAGAGATATTTATTTATTTATTTATTTACTTTAGTCAGGCCCGGTCTGGCTCCATTGGAGGCCCTCGGCTAGATGTTGATTTGAGGCCCCCAGCCAGAAATAAAACAAGGACCATGGAGTCCTCTCACGGCAACAATTAGTAGCATGTTTGCTGCATGCCGCAGGTGCATAAAAGGGGCCTAAGGTGGTTTTAAATGATTAACAGTTTTTTGATAATTTTGATTAAATTAATAATTGCTAAATTTCCATAAATTAAAATCTTTGTATTTATAAATTTAATTCCAAGGTATCAATCAATTTAAATTTGATATAAAATTTGCTCGTATTTCTATTCACCTCTACAGCTGCCATAAAATTTAAAGGCCTATTCTTAAAATTCTTTTAAGTCTTCAATTTAAAAATAAGACCAAAACCTAGTTCTTGGAGTTTTTGCCATACATGGTAAAAAAGCATATCACGTACCACTTTAGAATTTTGAATACATCTATGAATGGACCACATTTACTGTTTATCACACACTTTACTCCATAGTTGTACAGTACTTCAGCAACAAAGACAAACAGAAATAATCAAAAGTATTTTAATTTAAACGTTGTAAGGCTTACAAAAAACTTCTGATGGTTTCCGCCTGCCTGTTTGCGACTTTTCATTGTTAGCAGAATCGGAACTGAAACCAGCTAACCTGCTAACCATAAGTTCAAACAGTTTAACTTTAATTTGTTTTTATTTTGAAATATTTCCTATCCATTTTTATTTTACTTGCGCCACTTGGGTGCATTTTATAGTTTCATTTTATAAACTGAACGAATTGGGAACTTTTTTTAGGGATGATACATAACATGTAATTGCATTTATTTTTGTTGTTTAAAAAAATATAAAATTGCCAAGACACTGTATTATATATACTGATGATTTAGATTTTAATGTAGTGGAATTCTCTTGGTTTTTCATTCGACTGAAAAAACCACTGGTTTTAAAAACAACCGATTGACAAATTGACTAGTCGATAGTTTTTTTCCAGTCGGTTGTCCCATCACTATACTATTACAAGCGCTAAGCTGTCTGCTTGAGTCCAGACATCAGACATATCCCAGACGCGCCGGCACGGCAATGTCTCGTCACTACCGCGGAGCGCTGGGCACTGAGGACTGAGCTGATTCGAACGGTGCGTTGCAGTGAGATCGGTGACCATCCTCTAGTGACTATCACCGAGTGACTATCACTGTACTTGGGGGCTACCCTGACTGTAATTCAATTAAAAAAGAGTATTGTTTATTAAAAATTGTTTTTGCAAGACTACGTCGCTGTGAAACAGTTAAACAAAATATTTTTTTACTATAACAAAATTTTTTTAATTGATTTTTTGGCTTTTGGAGGCCCCCTTGAGCCGGAGGCCCTCGGAGATCGCCGACCAGCCGCCCTGGCCAGACCGGGCTTGACTATAGTTTGGCTGTAGTTTGGCTGCTTAGATAGCGACCTCCTCTAGCATTGGTTAGCATTAGCTTAGCGCGCAGGTCGCTATCTAAGCGGCCGAACTAAAAATTATTATTATTATTTTAAGCCATTCCAAAATGATTTAGAAACTGCAACATTTTATCATATGTTTTGAAAGTTAAAAATGTGAAACCCAATTTTAACCCCATAAAACCCTATATTGTCTTTGTTCAGACAACATTTCTTGGCTGATTTAAGTTTGCTACAAGCCATCAGACACGGAATTTGTTGAATGTATCGTATAATGGTGATTTAAAAAGTGACAAAAAGGCAGGCCTATTTACATAAATAATAATTGTTTTTCAAAGGGCTAAATCCAAGGCACTAAACTGTTTCAGCACTGCCTTCCTAATGGAGGCGACAGGCTAGCCAATCTTTGAGAAAAAGCAATAAGACAACACTTGTCATTGTTCCAGAAATCAGATATCCATCTAGCTAATCCACCTATGGTTATTTACCTGAGTAGATGAGGGGCAGAATGGCACGGTATAGGTGGCATTGGCGTGCAATTTGCTCGTGACGAGTGACAGCGATGATTGGGCAACGCGGCCTGTACTTGGAGATAAGATGCGCAGAGCGGCCCGTGGTGGTGATCACTATGATGGCTGCAGCTTGGCACTTGTTGGCTGCTTCTACGGCAGCGATGGCGATTGTGTGTGTCGCTTCTAGAGGCTCAACCACCTGAAATACCACATTAGTAAAATTCAAGCAAGCCACGGAAATAAAATTTATGTTTTTCCAGATTTTAAAGAACTTAACAAGAGATCAAAACTTAGAGTAAAAAACTATGTTATTAATATGCTACATTCAATGGACCTAAATTAATTCTAATTAATAAAAAAAAAAAAATTTAACAAATATTTTTGTTGGCATAATTTGATTCATTGTAAATTTATTAATAATTTGTTTAATCCGTTAAATGTTCATGGTTGTTACCACAGACATTAGTGATGGTCAAATCTAGGACTTTCGAATCTAGAACAGAATTATAAAATTGAAAATCAAATTCCTAGTTAAAGTAAAATTGTGGTTGCATCCAATATAAAGTCTATTATTTAATTTATTTTGTACCTATCACAGTAAACCCAGCCCTGACCTGTTAATGAGTTGGCCAGTTAAACCGATCTATTGTAAAAACGATAACTTATACCTAATAAATCGATAAATGTCAAAAGCAGTGTTTAATTCTCTTTGGGGATTATTTTTTTGAAAAAATACACATGTTTGTAAAACAGACAGAAAATTTATTTATTGGTTAAAATTGTAAAGTAATGAACATTAAAAGATTATGATTTCAGATAACATAAACTAATACTAAATAATTATGGATGTATAAATGACTCCTAATAAATTGGCCATGAAGATCATTAGGCCTTAATAGAACGTAAATTTCTGCTAAACTTTCTTATCCATTGTTTTCTTTTTTACAAACTAAACAGTTTCTGTACTCCACCAACTACACTGAAAATAATCAACCAGAGGATAGGCCTAATAACCCAATTGAGTAGCCTAGAGTAAGATATAAGTAAACGGATAAATCGTCAGAACCCTAAAGTTGCGAAGACTAGTGCTTGCAACTTAGCCTCTGTAGGCCGTAAGAAAGGCATTTTAATATTGGCTTCCTTTAGGTGGCCGGGTAAAGCAAAGAACCTGTAAAATCAAGGCCAGATATAAGGGGATCTTGTGCAATTGTAAAAAAAAGGCCAAGAATAGCAAGGTACAGAGGAAACTTTCTTATGAGATAACTGTGCGCTTTCTGCTCTAGTATGGTGTGTTGGAAATATACTTGAGCAAAGAAGAGCCCGAGTGGTGAACACTGTGCGGAGATGCCTATCGCACAAGGCACAAGGTCTTCCTCCACAGCAAGGGGAGCGGTGTTGGACTTTGCCCAAGTGCGACAAGTGCTAGACACCACTTAGTGTACCATTAAATGCCTTTTCTGATCCTTACTTCTCTATGGTTATACTCGCATAGATAGTCTTTCGATGGTTGATATATTGTAAATATGAAGCTCAGTTACATTTTTGCGCATCAACTATACTTAAGTCATTGATTACTATGGTTGTGAGTTACCTTAGAAGTGAGGTCAACGAAGAGTTGCTTATGCCAGATGGCAGCTTCTGCCTCCTTGCAGATGTTAGCCATGGTAGCCACACATTCTAGAGGGTAGTCTCCCTTAGCTGTCTCTCCAGACAACATAACACAGTCAGCTCCGTCTAGGATAGCGTTGGCTACGTCCGAGCCCTCGGCACGTGTGGGACGGGGCTTGTGGATCATAGACTCCAACATCTGGGTGGCGCAAATCACTGGCTTGCCTTTCTTGTTACATCGAGCAATCATGGCCTTCTGGGCCAAAAACACTTTTTCTGGGGGGATTTCAATACCCAGGTCTCCACGAGCTACCATGATTCCATCTGCAGCTTCGATGATTTCATCAAGATTCTGCCAGCCCTGGTGGTTCTCGATCTTGGCAATGATTTTTATATTCTTGCCTTCTGCTCCTGTAATATTAAAAATATTAACTTTAGAAACCTCTTTAAGGTTTTGAAGTGGCCAAAACACAATGTCTAGTTAATTTTTTAATCTTTTATTCAGGTGTAAATCACAATATATTTGTATTATTATATTAACACTGATTTCATAATAGTAAAATTATATACAGTTATGCATATAGAACTTGCATGTTCTGGATGGATAAGAGGAATGGGTCGCCTGAAGACTGCCCCCCGGAAAACCAGAAGTTCAAGCATGTGTCTATTGCTACATTAAAGATTTAAATTTGTTCAAAGTAGGATAGTATTCAGACGATGATTCAAGGTTTGTATATGGTAAACGGCAACCAAATTCGAGAACAACTTTTTTATGCACAATGAAATATATTATAATTTATCTCTACAACACACAAACAGAGAATAGTACAAACCCAGGATTTGTCTGATCTCTGTGATAGCTTTAGCGTCTCGGATGAATGATGCAAATATCATATCTACTCCTTCTTTCACACCGAACTGAAGATCCTCTTTGTCCTTCTCGGAAACTGCAGGAAGATCAACCGCGATACCCGGAAGGTTCACCCCCTTCCTGCTTCCCAACATACCTCCGTTTTCAATTTCACATTTTGCGTAGTCAACTCCTGCAAAAGGTACACAATGTTTAAAAGGTAAGTCAAATAACATTTATTTTCCTTGCCACTAATGTACAGCTGTTAACACAGACATGATTAAGTTTAAGTGCCTTGATTGTAAAGAAACCATAGTTTTTCACCAGCAAAATGAGCCAGACCACCACTTGTGTTGACTTTAGATGATTATTATGGTTTAAAGCAGGATTTGGATGCTTAGATCATGTCACAAAACTATTTAGGAAATTTAAAATCTAAATATTTAGTAAATTCTGGAATGTAATCAAATAAGTTTTTTTTTTCAAGAAGAGTGTTCCCAAGTGTATGTGCATTATTTTGTCTATAAGTACATGGAATTGTCTATATTTAAATTGCTGTACCAAGTATAATATATCTTGTACAAAATAATTCAGTAAAGATTAATATACACATATTTGATCAATTTTGGGGCCCAAGATATTTCCCAAAACCTCCAAATATGTTGTTAATAAAGTAAATTGGCCATTTACTTATATTTTACAGTAGGTAGATAATTTATAAACCCAAACGGGTATCCAAGTCATTGTTAGCTTTTCATCACTCATACTCTTTTAATCAATCAATATAAAGCAGAGTTTATTTTTGAGGTTGTACACTTGTATCTCAGTTAAGTTAAAACTAGTCTAAAAGTAACTGAGTGAGTAGTCTGAGTAAGGTAACTTACCAACATGCGTTACAACTAAGGAGATCAATCCATCATCAATGAAAATTCTGTTTCCGACGTTCAGCACATCGCTGAGGTTTTTGTAGTCAATCCACAAATTTTGTTCTGTGGATTTTTCCTTGTATTCAGACTCATTTGTTATGGTAATCAACTGTCCCTTTTTCAGCTCCACTTCAGCAGAGGGCCCCTGTTGATTCATTTCATATTTTAACTCAATACATTTTTTTATATATCAAAAACTATCTTTCAATTGATTCCAAAAATAACACTTAATAAAATGAAAATGAACCGTAAACTAAAGGTAAATAAAATACCTCCGCCGCATCAAACCTGCCGTCTAAGCGAATTTCCATTTGCCTGAGTTGATTTTCAATAAATCTATTCTTATAACATTAGGTTTAACGAGTACCTAGGTTTGCTGCTACAAGGAAACTAAAAAAGTGTGTTTTTAAGTAAAATAATTATAGCTTAGTACAAAATCAATAAATTTGCCAAGTTTAATCAAAATATATCCATAAACTAGCAAACTACAACATTTTACAATATTCTCCATAAGAATAACATGGGAATTTAAAATTAAAATTTTTTTGAGTTTTCTCCATACAACCATTAACCGTACAAAAACACTTTGATATAAGCAATTATTTGTTTTTTTAAGCTCTTTAAGAAGGTCTGTAGAGAAATTGGGAATTTTTTTGTTTTGAGTGTCAAAAATGAGAAAAACCAATTTTTACCCATAAACCAAGTTAAACCAAGTTCCCATGGTTCGATCATGCTGGTTCGCGAACTCATTCAAGTTTATCCCGCCTTACAACCTTCAAACCAAATTTATCAAAATCGGACAAAAATTACTTAAGTTATCGTTCGGACGGACACATATATCTCTATATATTTATATATATATATCCATATATAAAAATGTGAACGAATGGTGTTTTTGGCCTCTGGGGACATCAAAATGAAAAAGTAAATCGGTCCCAGGCCTAGGTCTTACCATGAAACCTACGGTAATAGCTACTTCCCTATATGGGAAATTCGCTAAAATACGACTCATTAACTCACTGATACCATATTGCAAGAACAAAAACAAATGTATGTGAAACTGATCGTGGTAGTAGGCCTACCGGTACCAACCCTATTAATACTATAGGAGTGCAAAAACAAAATCAAGGAATTCTGTGTTCAAGCAGATACCAAATTTATGATACCGGTAAGTACAAATCAGCATTTTTACTAGAAAGTAAAGAAGATTAAAGCTGACACTGCTAACATATTGTATTTTTGTCATAAAATTTTCTATATATGGAGTGTCCATAAAAAATATACACTTCTAGAGAAAATATTCTTGTATCACTAAATTAAAAAAAAAAACTGCAAGATGACAAAATATAAAAAGACAAGAATAAATAAAGCTTTAAGGACAATATTTAGACCAAAAAGTTATTTTGGTTGGAAAAATCAATTTATTGATGATGTCTTAGCACAGATCCATACAAACTCAAAATGGAATTTCTATAAATACATTAGTAAAATCTTTCATAAACCATTACTTTTCCATGCAAACATTTATATTTACTATTATTAGATATATTTTTTAAACCAAGTATTTGTTGCTAGTGAAGGAAGTGTTGCTAACCAAAATCGATTCTTGGTTCCGGTACCATCGGTACCTCATTTTAAAATTTGGCTAATTAATTGTTTTATTTTAAAAACAAAATATCCCTATTTCAAGGTAGGTTGGTTATATTAAGGGATTAGGAAAACTTAGGCCTATTTATACAAATAACACTTTGACAACCAAACACATTCAAATAAAAATAATATATACCAAATATAGGCCTTGAAGTTATTTGTTGAAATGATTCACTGTTAAACCAATAACTTTAACATAGGTTGGAAAGAAAAGGGGCTCTGGAAATTTGTTAAACTAAGTTCTAGCCTGTTAAGTTCTAGCATTGACTATTAGATACTGAAGTAGACGTCCAATCTATACAAACCAGCTGTAGCCAACTTTTTATTAAAAAAGAACGTAGTTGTGTGAGCCAGTCACAGAATGCGCTAGTGACTAAAACTCTATTTTCTACTGTAGCTTTGTTGAGGAAATGTTGCGTGGATCGATGAGAATTTTAATTCCGAAATTCTACTACATGAACCCTAGTAGATTCGTTTTTATAACTACTAAAAGTGCAAAACTGTAACAAAATCATAACTTTTACACACCTTTCTTTCTTAGTCGCTTAAGTGGAAATTATCTTTAAAAACCAACGTTTAAAATCTTTCAAATATAAAGTAGTGCATGTCCAACTCACCCCAGCCAACAAACCAGTCCTGATCTCGGGTCCCTTAGTGTCAAGCGCTATAGCAAGTGGGTACGTCATTCCAATCTTAGAACTGTAGCTGGTCACAGCTTCTCTGATTTGTTTAACCACACTTGAGTGGTAAGCATGAGTCCCGTGCGAGAAGTTCAGCCGAGCAATGTTCATTCCAGTTTCAATCATCTGCTCCAATCTGCCTGGATAAACTGACGCAGGTCCTGAAATACAAGATGTTTTATTAAACTGCTCTTCTGACAACCTTTGAATTGAAACACTCATCTTTGTTTTGGATTTATAATATCATTTTATCTTAACCTAGACATTTCGATCTGTACAAATTCACAATAAGACTCACTCTGTATTTATATATGAATGTTTTTTACCTTTGATAATCAAATCATGTAGAACAAGTAGCCTTCTATGGAAAAAAAAATCCTCGGCTTAATCTTAGAGATTAGGATTGACGGAGAATTAGATAGAACTTAGAACTTAAAGTCAATTTGTATACAAACCCAGACATTGTGGTACGATGAACCCTTCTTAATTGTTTCTGGGTCAACGGTTGTTTGAATTAAACACCTCTAACCAGGCAGAAATAGGGGTTTATGAATTTAAAACTGGTTTTAAGCAACTTGTTTAAGGAATCTAGAGACTTCCACACTTGTCCTTATCACAGTCATAAAATTATTCATTTCCGTGCAGGTGTAGTTTTTATGAACCTAACGAATTGAAAGTTTAAAAAAAGTGATTATCCATCATAAATTTTGTAAACAATTGTATTTAATGTAAATGACTTTTATTTCAATGATATATGTGAGTAGTACAAAAACTAATGTTAATCCGCATGATCAAAGTTGAAATTTGTGTATCTTTTCTAACAATGTACAGTATTCCTTATTTTTCAAGAGTAAAATGTGCAGTACTGTGGTTAAGAAGAGACAAATAATCATTCTACAGTATGATAAATTAGTCACTGGAACAATCTTGCTACTAGGTACATGGTATTATATAAGCCAAAAATGCAGAAGCAAACATTGATATTTGAAGCTAGGTTTTACATTAACATTGTGTTAGTAATTCATTTTATTACAACATTATTTTACATGGTTGTCCAACAACATAGGTCAAGTTCCGTTCAGACTGATTGAGACAGGGTGTACCGTAATGGCAAAAATCTGTAAATATGGGTGCGAGGAACGTAAGAGAAGAACATTCCAAAATCATGGTCGGCTTGCTACTAGGTACATGGTATTATATAAGCCAAAAATGCAGAAGCAAACATTGATATTTGAAGCTAGGTTTTACATTAACATTGTGTTAGTAATTCATTTTATTTCAACATTATTTTACATGGTTGTCCAACAACATAGGTCAAGTTCCGTTCAGACTGATTGAGACAGGGTGTACCGTAATGGCAAAAATCTGTAAATATGGGTGCGAGGAACGTAAGAGAAGAACATTCCAAAATCATGATCGGCTACCTGGTAAACCTGGATGAAAGAAGGCTACTTGGCAGACCATGGAGATGAAAGGAAAAGTTCACAGGTCATTGATTGACTGGGCACTAAACTTCAATCATCAGAAGACAGGAAATTATAGAGGCATTGGTGTCGACATCAAACCCCTATTGAGGTTTTAATGGCCAATTAAGCAAGGTAAGGTAAGTTTAGTATGTTGGCCTACTTACCAATGGTACAAATGATTCCGGAGAGTCGAATGTAGGATGCCTTGGAGTCGATGTCCAAGGCGCACATGTGGTCGAGGTAAGAGGCAGCTCCTGCGGCCTGGAGCTGGCTCATGGGTACGCTTGAGCCTTTTGAGTCCATCTAAAAGACAAACAAGGAAAAATACTGTTAGACTATCATTTATGACTGAAATTAGGCTAACTTATGATCTTCTCTCTGTATGCTCTTTCCTTACACTCGTACTTTTAAACACCACTTATAAATTGTAAAAATTAAGCTAAAACTATTTATAGTTCTGTACATGATAAGATCACAATAATAAGTTAGGGCCTACTCATAAAAGCAAAAAAATTCATGAATGGAATCCGTTCCATTACCTCTTGATACAAAAAACGTTTTTGACTAAAAAAAAAAAAACTTAATGGACACAACACGCTTAGCCGAACGATGTTAGAAACAGTTCCTAGCAAGTCAAAATGAAATCATTTTTATTTAATAATTTGTACAATTTTGAGTAAAATAAACTATAAGGATGAACAAGTGATTCATTAATGTTGAAAAACAGTATTTTATTAAAATTTTTAGTCATACACAAATTGTCAATCCATGCTAAACCCAATACACACAATTTTACCGAAAAGCTAAGAATCTAAAGATCTTAACAGTTTAGAACAATATATCTTACTACAGTATGTGCAAAGACCATCCTGTTGGGTAAGTCTGTATGTTTTTGCTGGTATAGATAAAACTACACTCCACAGATATCTTATCATAACAAGCTTGCACAACAATCTAACATCAAGGATAAACACTAGAAGGGGATACAAATTGCCATGTTATGCCATTGTTTATGTTCTACACCAATATTTTCAATGTTAAACAAAAAATAAACTTAACAATGATTCAGTAATTAGTATACTACAAAATATTATATTTTTTAAACCTGTAAAGCTTAAAAACTCCACTAAGCGTGTTAATAATTTGTTTCACAAATGTTCTATGATGTTAATTTTTTAACATATCCTAATGGAATTTGAGCATTATTGTATTGAAGATGGAAATAATTTAGGTGGAAGTTAAGTGAATATCATCAACAGTTAGAACTGATAGATATAAATGGTACCTAATTTAGTAATTTATTCTGTTCTAAAAAAACTTTCCAGGAACTAGAAATCTACATATTCGTAAGTGATGTAGGCCTAGTGTGGAAAATAGTCTTTGCTTTATATACAAAAATGAATTTTTTCTTTAAAACATTATTTTCAAGAGAATTTTTTTCGAGAGAGATTTTTTCATAAGAGTTCAACTTAGGATGTATTAACTGCATATTTGACTTACAGTACCCCAAATAAATTATAAGTGTAAATAAACTAAAAAAGTATAACTTTGTATTACAAATATAAAACATTTTAGAAAAACTGTCAATTTTGAATCTGAAAATGGTTCAAATACCTCCGTAAGAGTAATCCTTGCCGTTGGTAAGGCTACAGTGGAGGCAACTAGTTTTGGACCCCAAGACAGACCATCTTCAGGTCATGCAAGGAGTCAAACATAATAACTTCAATTGAAGGTCGTTACCACCACAGTAAATAAAGATTACTGCATACAGGAATATTAACCACTTTAACTTTACAGCAGTACCCAGAGACTAAACAATTTATAAAATGTTTTATTGCTTGTTTTGAAATTGATAATGTTGTCCATTACTAAAATGCATAAGTTAAATAGATAAATTATTAAATAGTCACATGTTTTTGTTTATTAAAGTGAGAGACATTGTAAGCCATACTAGCCCAATTGATATTCTGTTATTTTCTATTCATACAAGTATAAGTCAAATTTGTTTCAAAGTTGTCTGGGCCTTTCCGTGCTTTCCTGTAAAAAAAACCTCTTGGTGAAAAATCATTTCCAGTCTATATACATTGTTTCAACAAATTTTACAAACATTTTGATTTGTCTTAAGTCTGATGTTCGGCTTATGACATAATATACGATGCAACTCGAGCTATAAATGCAAAAAACAAGAATATTACTGTTATGAGTTGATATCAGAGTGAAACAAAACTACACCAAGCTACTTATGGAAATGAGAGGAAACATCTGGAATAACTATACATCCTGAAACAATGAGTACCGGTATAAAAAATCTATTAAGTTTGAGATATGGGCATACCTGTGTAAAAAGTGAACTATAATAACAAAAGGGGAGCCTGAGTAATATTTAGAAGCTTTCAAACTCCAAAATAAAACACAACAAAATTTCAAAAAAGTAATTATGTATTACTGTTGTTAATATACCAAGGAATAAATTATAAATAGACAATAGTGGTACAGTGAGAGTAGGCCTAGTATCAATCAGCTAAAATAGTTGGAGAACAAATCTAGTAATATTAGCATACGTGTAGCCAGATTTATTCTGCTTGAGACTACAATAGGATTGACTACAGTATTTAAACCTATTTATTTGTGTAGCCAGAGTTCAGTTAAAGAACCTATGCTCCAAACTCTTAAAACCTCAAACTTTTGGGACAGGAAATCATACTAATACAAAAAATGAGTTCATTCTACACACATATGCTACCTATAAAAATAATTTGTGCTACTTTATCCGAAACAACTCGGTCTATAAAAACCACCGGTTTACCAACTAAACAAACACACTGGAATGTAGAAATGAAATAACTGAAAAACTTACTGAAATCAAGAAAAAACGTAGCAAGCGTGCAACAAGATAAAATACAAAAATGTGCGAGTGAGCGAAAGATAATAGTGTCAGGTGAAAACTAATCAATTAAGTGCAAGTTATGTGCAACACAGGTGCAAACAAAAAATATAACAAGGTGCTGGAAACAATTAACCGTCACACAGTTTACCTGTGCATCTTCAACTTTTTCAGTCCAAACCATTCTGTAGCTGAAAACAACAAAAGAATGAGAAGTGACCACACGAGAGCCTTTGAGTAAAGGCTTAGTGATTGAAATGACCTTGTGAATAACAGTCAGGAGCATTGGGCTTTGGCCCTCTCGGAGACACACTAGACGAAAATAATACTCCTCCACTGCCAGGCTGTTTATAACTTTCAAAACACGTTCCATTCTACACCAACCTGGTGTGAGGTTGGAGCTAAATATTAGTTAGTTTATAGCATTTTGTTATAGTGAGTATTTATTTGATTGATATAAATCATGGCTTTATAAAAGTGAGTATTTTTTACGGAGCTTTAGAATTAGCTATGTATTATGTATGCCATTCCTGTACACATTCAAACACAATTGGAATAGCCCACAAATGATTTGTCATAAAATATGAGGTTAATGCTAATATTTTTTTTTAACAAATAATTTGCTGATTAGATGTAGCCCTTTTATAATGTACTCCATAGATGTACTACAGTTGTCAATCGATAATGTGGCACTTTATAATCCTACATATCCAGTAGTCGACAGTCTTATCTGCGGAAACAAAACAAGCCTAAAGCGATATGTATCCCTCTCCCTCGAACTATACGTACCGTCATTGTGAAGCCTAGTTTCAACAATTTAAATGTAGGTTACTATTTGGTACCTTTTGATAACTTTACCAAGTTTTACTGTGACAAATGCAATAGTTATTAGTACTGCAGTAGAAAATTGTCATCTTGATCAAATGCATTTAATAAAAACTAATCTAAACCATCCACTGTTTTCAGTACGATCCGACTTCATCCTGGTCTGTTACCTGTCGGATTATCTAGAGACAACTGTACTTTGCCTACTTAAAGTGGACTGACTAAAAGTATTATGTGTTTTAAGTGATAATGATTTTGAGGGTTAAAGGTATAAGCAAGTAGGCCCTATCGAGTATTTCGTTTTCTTAAGCGGCCAGTAAAAATAACATTTGCTCATGAATAGAGGAACAAATTACGATATAACTAAAAGTTACGTTTTTACTCATAAATATATCCAAATAAAAAGCACACAAGTCCAACTGGTACAAAGCATTACTCACTTAGGTACAACGATATTCCACAGTCTATATATTTCAAAATTGTTCTTCATGTAAAAAATTGTATATCTTCTAAACATCGACACTAAAACCGAGAAAATTTGCAAATTCATAAACATTAACTAAGCATTGACTAAGCATGAAAGGTTTATTAGCAACACGAACTGGTATAAGAGTGTGTTTTAAGATTTTTTTTTATCGATGTCTTCGCTGGTGGCATTTACCTATCAAGGTTTAATATGAATTACAGGCCTATTAAACACATTCTTAAGTTTGAAAATCACATTTAGTTGGAAATGCACTTATAAAAAAAAATAACAGAAGGAAAAAACATTTGATGGTTCACAAACATTAGTTGCTCAGTAATTTTTCTTTAGCTGCTGATCAATATAATTGTCAATAGTAATATTGTACGGTTTTTATGTTAATATTGAATCGTTTCCTGACAACATCCACAATGTAGGCCTATTGTATTTTAATATGTGAATAGATAGGTTTTGAATTGAATTAAAAACATAAAAACACAGTTGAAGTACAGTAGTGAAACTGACCTATGAATATCTAATTCATTTCAGGTTAATATCATAAATATAAAAACATGATGAATTATTAGCCTAATAAATGAAGCAAAGACGAAACCAGGTATTTAAATACTAACCTAGCCAATTTTAACTTCTACAAAGAACATTGAGATTTAAATACTAAAAAATAATTAAGAAAGTTCAAACAGCAAGATCAAGAAATGTTTAAAGATATTCTTTAAACCTAATCTTTGAGGTTCAAGATAAGGGTTTTTATGTGTCAAGCAATAACCTTGACCTTGACCTGCATATCATTTAATGATAAATGCTCTATTTTAAACGGAATAGTCAGTATCTTAGTATCACCAATTATTAAAAACCTTAGAATAATCTTTACATTAAATAATTAGGCTAATGTTAAATAGCCTATTGTCTCACCTTGAAAGACAGCCTAATAAAAAAACCCCTTATACCCACCACGTGGTAAACCAATAACTTTGAATCTATCTCATTCTTATAAAAAATTGTGGCTGTAACCCGATAAAATAAAATTTAATTTAACTGTTGAATGCAATTAAGATAAATTGGGGGGGATAGGATAAAAAATAAGGTAATAGATAAATTAGGTAGGATAAA